ACGGGTACAAAAATGATAGTAAAGATGGAACTCTGCATTTAGAGGATCTGCTTTCTGTTATGACATTATGTTCTGTGTTACACCAACATAGGCTTGCAAAGAACATTTCATTGAAAACAGTGTCCTCCTTCTGTTTTCCAACCCACATTAATAGTCATATGCATACACAAATAGCATCAGATAAGGGCTGCCAACAGGATTTTCTGTATAATAAATTCTCAAATGTCTTTTTAGCCATATGGCACTCTAAGCAACATACGGGTCTATTCCGGTCCATCACCAAAAACAAATCTAAAGCATGGGGACAAAATGCTCTCTAGCATCTTAAGTAATAGGTGGCAGTTCCCCCCCCCCCCAACCCACAATAACCCCAGGTTCCTTTTTTAAAAAGCAATTTTCTAGTGTTTGTAGAAACTGAGATATGAGGCCAAATGTGCAGGTTCTATTCTCATCATTTGTTTTGTAAGGAACTAGCCTGCTACATATTTTCCATGTTTTTAACCAGTGAATGAACTCATAACAACGCCTGACATTTAGGAAAGCAGATCTAGCCAATTAGACAAAGAGAAGACTAGAGGGGAACAGGGGAAAGAGTCTAGACCCTTTGTTTGATTTAAAGCCTTTTCTGCTTGTCTTCCCAGTGGATGAGGGGTGGCGAGTGATTAGTTATTATATCAGAGATCCAGAGTGCATATTTTGATTTAATAATTTTTCAAATATTAATGGCATTTTACCTTCAGAAAGATAGAGTGCATCACTGAATAGTTTTTGTGGTGTGCTTAAATTTTATAATATTTTATAACCCCTGTGCTCTCTAGGACATAAACAAGAAATTCTATCTAACCCTGAAAGTGGTACAATGGTCATTAAGGATGTTGTTTTAGTTAACATCAGAGTGTAAATCCAAACATCTCCTTGAAGCTTCCTGAGAAGGCTCAGGGATGAAAGGAAGTGACATAGGAACAGGAATATCAACAACCCTGTCAAAGGCCTGGTTGATAAGGAAACAATGAAACCCAAATGGCCTAGGCAGTTAGCAGCACCCCAAGGTAATTGTGAGGGTGAAGTTACCAGTAGGGAGCCATGTGTGTTTTACTTCTCATGGCCTGTAACTTTTCTTGATGTATGTAGGAGGATGTTCAGGCATGTTTTCATGTTTTATAACTCTTTGTGTTTGAGCTACTATGTAAGCTTTGTTCTTATTTTCCTCTGGGCAGACCTTCTTCTTAAGTGGCAGTATCTCATAAACTCTGGGTCCCTAACTGGGCACAGGACTTGTTTTACTTCCTTGGTTCTGCATTTTATTTAAAAGGTGGTCCCTCACTTGGGTAGAACAAGATAGTGTAGAAGTAAATTCTTACTACAGTTGCTCACTGAATGATCTCAACTGTGCACTTCCAACAAATAATAAAACCAGGGAAGAGGAGGCATGGATTGTGCACAGTTCCAAGGGTCAAATAGAGAGGTCCACTTTGATCCCTGGGCCTGAGGTTCCCTATGCCTAGTAGGAGGAAATTCAGATGATTTTCTGACCCTTGGCTCTGCGCACACCTATCCCACTGAGCTCCAAACTAATCTTCAGAATGGTTGCCTCTGCCCCCTTTTGCCATGTAAGAAGGCAGAGGTGTCTAACCTGTATTCATCACAATCAGCACTGTTTCCATTCTACTGCAGTTTGATTTCCACCAAATACCAATTCATTTGCATCAGTGTCTGCTATGTAACATAATTTGCATGTGTTGTGCAACTTTTTACATAACTTTCATAACTTACATTCATTTCCATGTAAAGAAAACATTAAAGCAATGTAAAAAAAATAATACTTATGTATCATTTGTGGACTTAAAAAAAGCAATTAAATGAACCAATGCTGATTGAATTCGCATGAATTATTTCCATTCTTGACCACAGGTAAGTGTGCGGAGTGCAGTGATTTCCCCTTCCTTTTTCATTGCTGTTGCAGTTCTCCAACATCTCCGACACCTAGTCTGTAACCTTGGAATGGGTCAGAAACTCTCTCGGTGCTGTGTGTGTGTTTGGTTAAAAAGCCTCCATCTGGGAGCTATTAATTTCTCCCCAAGGCTCAATTCCCCCATGAAGGTAGCCTAGCAGCCTTCATATGCTCTTAAAATTAATTAGCCTTTAAAAATCCACCTAATCATAAACCAGGGCAGAAACTGATATTGCTGAGACATCATTTCCATGGCAAACGGCTTCCTTCTCCAAGGGATCCCAAAGCTTTTTGTCTTTTTCTACAACAGGGGTATTTAACTGCTAATCAATGCAAAAATCATCTGCATTGGTTTAAATCCATAGTTGTAAAACTATTACAAGTTAGATAATGGATTATAGAACAGCAGGGTCTAATTTAATAGACTTGAGTAAGGAAAGGGGCCAGTCATTCTCAGAGAGAGAGAGAGGTGCTCTCTCAGAGGAAGAGATCCCATCTTTTATGGTCTGTACATGGTCTCCAGCCAAGAGGGGGTTCCTACAGTGGAAAATATATGCAGCAGCAATGGCCAGTTGAAAAGCAGTCCATAGAGGTAGGCAAATCTGTCAATTTTCATTTCTCTCAGTTTCCCATTTTTTCAGTCTTAAATTTAGTTTCTATACCACCTTGTGTGGTTTTTTTAAAAAGAACTCATCATGAAAAGTCATCAGCATATTTGTGTGAATTTCACCTAATAATGATATTTTTAGAAAGCAATTTTCCTAGTATAATGCATTTGTTTACATTAATGCCAGTCACACATGCATTTATATGCAGACTTTACCTTATCATATGCATTTTTGTACACACAACTTGGCTGGAGAACTGCACTGCAAAATTCAGAGAAGTGTGAATTTTGAAGGATGGCTGCATTTCAGTTCATGTACAGTTGCAGAAAGTGTGAATTCATTAGGTTTGCGAGTTGAATTGAACTTCTCTCCCATCACTAGCAGAGCTTTTTTTCTAGAAAAAAAGGGTGCTGGTACTCACCATGAAGTTGTTGCAGTGAGTGCCACACTTTTAACTAGTGCTTTTCTTCTAGAAAAAAAGGTACCCGTACTGCGTACCCTTGAGTACCCCCAGAAAAAAAAGTGCTGATCACAAACAACCCCACCAATTCCCCCCAGAGGGGTGTGTGAAAATAATCACAACACACCCACCCCATGGTGAAAAGTGAAAAACAATCATGTCTCACCTGTGAACAGCAAAGAGTAAAATGACTTTTATATTAAGCATAAATTAGCATTTGGAATTAGCACTTAAAGATAAAGATATGTACCAGAATGCATATAGTAGGGCAATGGGTGTGTGTATAAATGCATATATTAGTAAAAGTACCACAAAAAATGCATATTAGGAAAAAGTGTTTTGTAAAGGCCCTGTGGTCTAAACCACTGAACCTCTTGAGCTTGCTGATTGGGAGGTTGGCGGTTCGAATTTGTGCAACAGGGTGAGCTCCTGTTGCTGTGTCCCGGCTTCTGCCAACCTAGCAGAAGCAACAGAAGTAGTTTAGCCATGCTGGCCACATGACCCAGAAAGCTGTCTGTGGACAAACACCAGCTACCTCAGCCTGAAAAGTGAGATGAGCACCACATCTCATAGTCAAATTTGACTGGACTTAACCATCCAGGGGTCCTTTACCTTTAACTTGTCTTACTGGACAAAATTGTATTAAAAAAACCAAAATGCTGATGAATTTTAACAAAGCTTTTTTTTAATGGGGAAAGCATCACTGATTCAGAAATGTGGAGAACAGGACATAAGGCTGAAAAAATGTGAACATGAGTGAAAACAGAATTGGCAAGATTCACTGATCCCCTAATGATAGGTAGTGGGAGACCCTGGCTAGTACTTTGACAACAGTCTTCCTGACTCAGGGCCAGGGGGTCACTCTAATTCCATGGCATTCCTCTTGACTTGGTTCCACGCTGTCTCCTGGAATGCTACTGATGTTATGGAAGGCTTGCAATATGTCAGGCTTGTAACTGTGGATGATTCTAATCCTGCAGAAGCCGCCTAGTTCCTGTTATCTGGGGGCTTAACTCATTCCAAAAGCCCTGGAGCCAAAGACATGCTACAGTCACATTTCAGTTTTGCTTGAAGAACCCAGATTCAAACCAGTTTTGCAATAACTTTCCCTATTTGGAATCTCATTCCCTACCCTTAAATATATATATATATATATATTCATCTCTACAATCTAATACTTTATAATTGTGTTATTCTGCCACCGAGAATTGGATAAAGAGGTAAGGAATGTCAAGGAGTTGCATCATTATGAATAATAACACATATATCATAAACAGGAGTGACAAGATTAGACAATATGCAATTTGGTTTAGAGTGGTTTTTGCATGCATAAATAATATATAAGATGAATTCATCATACTTTGTTCAACAAGCATCAGATTTTTAAAAAGGGTTCTGCCAGGGACTTCATCTGAAAAATAATATGAAGAATTGAAGTTTGCATTTATCCCTGAGGGAGGTAGTGGGCAGAATACTGAGCCAATAACAGTTTCCCAGCACCAATTTGCATTCTCAGGACTGGGGTGAGAAAAACATTTGCATTTTTGTGCAGTAATTCAGAAAACACAGTGTTGGATTAGGGCTGGAGAAGGGGAAGGTTAAACTCCCCACTCAGCCTTCAATCCTGTATACTTACCTGGGTGTAAGTCCCATTCAGCTTCTGAGTAGACATGCATTTATTTATTTATTTATTTGTTTGTTTGTTTCATGAATCTCTTCCCATGAAGCATTTTGAAGCAATTTCAGAATAAGAACAGTAAACAGATCTACAATAAAATAATTTCCTATTTAAAAATTACGTCAAATCCAATACAGATACCATCTAGAATAAAATCTCTGCTTAGAAGGCTTGTTGAAAGAGAAAGGCCTTCAACAGGTGCCAAAAATAAACAGAGACATTACCTGTCTGATAGAGAACCACAGAATTGTAGGAAGGGACCCTGAGGATCACCCAACCCCCTGCAATGCAGGAATATGCAACTGTCCCATACGGGAATTGAACCTGCAACCTTGGCATTATGAGCACCAAGCTCTAGCCAACTGAGCTATCCAGACTGTAATGGGAGGGAGTTCCAAGGGTAGATGCCACTGCACTAAAGGCTCAATTCCAACACAGTGCAAAACATACCACCTGACAGGATGGTATCTGCAGGAGGCCTGTTGTGCACAGTGTTGGAATCCTGTAGGCCACCAGTTTCCAACTGGGTGGTCAGGACCCCCAAGTAGGTTGCAGCCTGATCCAAGGTGGATCACAACAGGAGCACTACCAATGTAATGCAATGTTGTTGGCAACCGTCTGTCTCAGGAGACGATGGAGAAGTGCGCCTTTGAGGATGAGGTCGCGCTGTTGGAAGGTTGCAGCTCCTGCTGTGGCTGTAGAGACTGATACAGGAGAGACATGTTTTGTTGCAGCTGGGACAGATGAAGGTGTCCAGTTGGGCTGCTGCAGATGCACCATGGTGCTGCTTCTCACTATGTTCCACAGTGCGGTCGTCTACAAGAGATTCCCACATGCCAGGGTAGATGTTGCCAGCCTTCATGTCACAATTGCAGACGCAGAGTTGGTCTGCCAGTTGGCCTGGTGCTGGAAGCCAGTTGCCCGTAGAGCACTACCACCTTTCAAATATAAGGTAAAAGTTAAGGAAATGGGTCCCCAGATGCATATTTGGCTTAAAAGTGGATCCTGGGTCTGAAAAGGTTGAAGATACTTCCACAGACATGTAAATGGTGGGGTATCTTTTTCAGTTCAAGAGCCACATCCCCTCATGAGCCACTTCAGACACTCCAAGAGTCCCTATTGTTTTTATATGTGTTAGAAGCTGCCCAGAGTGGCTGGGGCAACCCAATCAGATGGGTGGGGTGTGTGTGTGTGTGAATAAGATGTCCCTATTTTCACTGGGACGTGGGTGGCGCTGTGGTCTAAACCACTGAGCCTCTTGGGCTTGCCGATCAGAAGGTCGGTGGTTTGAATCCCCGCGACGGGGTGAGCTCTCGTTACTTGGTCCCAGCTCCTGCCAACCTAGCAGTTCGAAAGCACACCAAAAAGTGCAAGTAGATAAAAAGGTACTGCTCCAGTGGGAAGGTAAACGGCATTTCCGTGCGCTGCTCTGGTTTTGCCAGAAGTGGCTCAGTCATGCTGTCCACAAAAACTGTCTGTGGACAAACGGCGGCTCTGTCAGCCTGTAAAGCAAGATGAGCAACACAACCCCAGAGTCTTCTGCAACTGGACTTAACCGTCAGGGGTCCTTTACCTTTTATTTTCGTTGGAGAAATGTTGTAGGGTATGCAACTTTCCAAAAGTGGGTGTGGCCAGAGGCAAAAAGCAGGAAGAGGCAGGCAGCGCAACGGACGTAATTCTTTCCTTTGCCTCCCCATGCACAGTTCAGATGTTCTTACACACACCTCTTTCTACTCAGCCAAGAAAGAGACATCATCCCTGTTCCAGCACAGCTTCCAGCCCGGCAAAAGCGGCATTCAACAAATGGGTGAAGCAAAGTGAGTGGGGAGATGTACACCCTAGGGAGAGTCCTGAGGGCTGTATAGAGATGCTGGAGAACCATTTTTGTAGTGGTGGTGGTGGTTGTTCATTTATATACCACCTTTATCTTCCAAGGAGCTCAAGGTGGTGTACGTGGTTCTCTCCCCCCCCCCCCAATTTCATCCTCCCAACAACCCTGTGAGGTAGATTAGGCTAAGAGATGGTGTCTGGCCCAAGGTCACTCAGTGAACTTCATGGCTCTGTGAGGATTCAAACCCTGGTCTCCCAGGTCATAGTCCAACACTCTAACCATGATGCCACACTTGGCCCCTGGGCTTGAGGTTCCCCACCCCTGGATTAGACACTCAGTTCACTTACGGACAGTAACTACCTATCGGTTTAACCGACCTCGTGGTTTATTGTGAGGGTAAAATGGAAAAGCGGGATCAGGAACCTTGAGGTAAGATGTGAAACTAATTTTTAAAATATGTATAATCTAGGAGGCACAGCCTGGGTAGAGTCCTGACTTTCTAAATGTGGTTTTGTTTATAGTTTCCAAATAAAACCTTAACTGAACCTGTGGCTTAATTGTGGCTCAACCCAAACAATTCCAAGAATAAAGAGTGCAGTGCATTCAACAGATTCGAGGTAATTATGTTTTCATCAGCCATGCGTAATCCTCTTTCCAATGTGCAAATGTCACATTGACCTGATGTATGCATCTGTTAGAGTGCTGCGCTGTGGTCATTTGACTCACCCACCTAACAAGCTCAGCCCCCCCACCCCATGGATGTTTTCCTTTCTCTCCTAATATTCTTATGAGGAAAAGGCTATTAATGGCTGCTAGCTATGATGGCTTTGCTCTGCCTTCACGGTCAGAAGCCATAATGCTTCTGAATACCAGTTGCTGGAAACCACAGGGAAGCAGAGTTCTCTTGTGAAGAGGCCATAGTTCAGTGGTAGAGCATCCATGTTGCATGCAAGGGCCCCAGTTTCAGTCTCTGGCTTCTCTAGAAAGGGCTGGCAGACATCCCTATTTGAAACCCCACGGTCAGTCAGTATAGACAAGTATAGACAGTATAGACAATACTGAGCAAGACATACCAATCATATGACTCCTATCCTTCCTATCTACCATGAACCGAATTGAAACTTAAGCTTCAGGGCCCCTACTCCCGGAGGGATCCCAGAAACATGACCAAATTGATTTATTTTTGTTGTATATATTTCAACAATCCCAAAGTTAGAGAGTCAATAGCACAACTGTTGTGAAGGTGTTGTGATCTGTCATGGAACAACTCCACTAAAGAAGATAATAGCAGTTACCCAGACCTCATTGCTGGCTGCAAAGGGGCCTCCATAACAGTTCAAACCCCCCCCCCCCCAAAAAAATGTAGGACTGCCACTGCTTCCTATGTTTTGTACTGTCCCAACCAAGGAAGAGTGGCAAGCAAAATTAATGGAATACACAGAAATTTAAATAATCATAATCATTGTAAACAACTAAATGCATTAGCAGGATTAATATAAAATCAAGCAGTTAAAAGGTGTACTTGGGGAGAAAGTAGATAGAATTAAAAAAAGAAACGTCTCTAACTAAACCCTACATCCTAGCCTTATAAAACAGCAGGACAACACAATTACTTCTCTAATGTATTATTTATCTTTTTAAAATTTCATGATGGATTTATGAGAAAGAACACAGGGGCTTCTTGGTTTTATTAAGTAAGCTTTCAGTAATTTAACACAGTAGCTTTTCATGTTTATGATGTCTCTTTAATCCTGCATAATATTGTGTCGTTGGGCCATAGCTGGATAAAGCTGCAGTTCCATAGCACAGGTAGACAAGGTGCAGCTCTCCAGATGGACTACAACTTTCATAATCTATGACCATTGGCTAGATTGGCTGCGGTTGATGGGAACTGTAATCCACAACTTCTGGATAGACCATGTTGGCTATCCATGTTCTATAGAGGAAACTAGAATTGGTCCAAGCAGGGGTGCCCAAACTTTTTTCAAAGAGGGCCAGATTTGATGAAGTGAACATGCGTGAGGGCCAACTGAAGATGTTGAACTTTTTTTAGGATTGACGTTGCTGAGCTTTTTTTAGGATTTTACCCCAGGGCATATACTGCCACACGGGCCGGATTAGGCCCCCGAAATGGACTTTGGACATGCCTGGTAGTGCATCAAGCTTGATCAATCTAGAGAAGGGATGAACAAGAAATTCAGTGCAGTGTGCACTTAAAATGAAATTATGCGTAAACAAAAAAACATGTAAACTAGTGAAATTAAAACAGAAAAATGTATCACATTACGGGAAACTGCTTTGCAAAAAATAGGTATATTAGCCAAAATTACATATTTTGACATAATTAAGAGAAGTTCACATTAAAACACTGATGGCACTTTAAAATAATAATAATCACAAACTGTCATGGAGATGTGGAGAACCAAAGATGGGGGGAGGGGGGATGCAAAACTGAGAGAAACCAAAATTCACACATTTTTAATATAGACGTGAGCAATTTCACTTGATTGGCCTCATTTTTTACTTCCAGTTGCCTCAGCTGTGTGTTCCAACTTCACTAAAGATTATGGCACAGTAAAAGAAATGCCCAGATGGAAAAACATCTGTCAGTGGTAGCATTTGGTACAAAGGATCACAGTTTTTTCTCAAGAGCATAAGAGTAGTCCAGCCTGATGCTTACAGGAAGACCACAAGCAGGACATGAGGCCACCACTCATGTTCCCTAGGAACTGGTATTCAGTGGCATGCATGCAATCTCTGATCATGGAGGTAACATGTAGCAACTGCCCACCCTGCTTTCTCCCAGGCAAAGGTGGTAGAACTGCTGTCACTGGTAATGGCATAGGGCTGGAGCATGTTGATGATGCAAGCTCAGAGCTTTACAGAGAGGAGCAGGGGAGAAAGCTATTAATTTTCTGGAAATGTGGAAAAGGGGGGGAAGCAAGATTTCCACTGAGAGTGGTGAGTAATTTTAAAGAATCCGCTTGCCTTGAAAAGTGGGAGGAGTGATGACTTGATATCTGATACACACTTTTAGCTGAAGATCCCTGAGATTGAGATTGGACCTCCTGCATCTACCGGTAAATCATGTGCTGTACCACTGAGCTTTGGCTACGTCTCTACCAAAAAGAAAATAAGGTTATAGGGTTCAATGGTGCAGACTCTAGGGGGCAGTCCCTCTTTCAATAATATGCATTCACTTATTTCAAAACATGGCAATCAAGCCCTGCTGTGTTTGAGAGCCCTCCTTCTCATTCAGCTGAGTGGAGGCATGGACACCACTGATGGCACCACTGGTTGGGTTTAACAAAAGCAGAATGCTGCACCAGACAGAACTCTGGTCAGATCCAGCATGGCAATTATTGTCTTCGTCTGGACATAGTGTTCCATCCCTAATCAAAGGCCCATCCTGGCAATTGGTTGGAGAAGGGAACAGTTTGGTTACAATTCTTTTTGTTAACTCAATTTTCCTTCATTTAACATTGACTCATTCGCCATTGTTCTGACTCAGATGCTGCATTGGCAGATGTGCTGGGGCCATCACTG